TTTAGTGTAAGTGTACGATGAGATGATAAAAATACACCACACTAATTTATATGTAGAACTGTACAATTTATTCCAAGTGAAAAGCATATTTACAAAAACACTTGAGAAACAAGTTGATGATATATACAAATTGATAGAAAGTGAAAGTACTGTGTAATCAGGGAGGAAAAACTGAGGAGTGTCTGTAAAAGTACAAATGTATGTGATATACAGTAGCATCACCTTTCATACCATCTGACCAATAAGCATTAGTAATTGCCTGTCCTTGTCTAGTACCTGGGAAACTCATCAACATTCCAAAATGATGTGTGGTCACTTGAATTAAGGCTACGGTCACACTAGAGTTTCAAGCCTGGCTTGACTCACCGCGTGTGAGATTTTCGTAATGTGACCGCATCTGCACCGACTCGCGCCTGGCGTGACCTCGATCTCAATCTACCTATCTCAACCCCGGCTCAGCACCCATATTGACCCTGGCGTGACCGAGATTGACATTTCCTTAATTAATAATAATGCGATTGATTTGGAGCGACCAGGAAACTGCTGACCTGGTAGATTTGTGGGGCCAACCCGAGCTGAGAGACCAGATAGAAAATAAAAAAACAAACAACAAAACGGGAATTTTTGGCGTGCTTCTGACAGATTAGCCAGTCTCGGATATGAGAAGAGAACAACGGCCCAAATTCAAACAAAAGTGAAGGCATTGCCAGCCCAATACAAGTTGATAAAAGATCAGTTGAAGAAGAGTGGTTCGGGCACGTCTGTTGTAAAATCTTTGATTGCGATCCACCCAATCACACGCGCGTATATCGAATCCCATGAAACAGAGTTGGCCAAACTCTCTCTTTACGGCTCTGCTGTTTCGACTTTCATAATTTTTAGAGGTCAATCCAACTAGTGTGACCGACCCGGAATTTCGAGCCTGGCTTGAAATCTTACCCGCGGTGAGTCAAGCCAGGCTTGAGACGCTAGTGTGACCGTAGCCTTAGACAAATGACCTTAAGGTAAATGACCTTCCTAAGCTTGGTGTATAACCCATGAAGTTGGGATATTAGTTAAAAATGCAAGGTATTATTTACACACAGATCCTATATACAAATTTACAGATGGTAGTACTGCTACACCATGATACTGTACAAGGTTCGCAGTTGAAACATTCAAATTCTTTTAATATTTCAAGTTACTTAGCTCCTCACAAATTATACATACATTTTATCACAAATTGTATATATTTAAGTTTTCTAATTTCATAAATTTGTTTGTTTTAAAACATACCTGTTTTTCTGTTTTAAAGGTTTGAGTTCAGCTGCAGTACAAGCAGCCTTACAGAGTCATACCTGGACATCTGTGTTAAAAACAATGCTTCGTTCCTCTCAACCAATAAAATGTCCCTCGGCAAGGTAAAGACATTTGACATTTTGAAATCCATACTTGACATTTTGAAATCCATACTTATGTACCTCTATGTTGAACCATTAATATCTGAAAACGCTGTCCACGCTATCAGGTTTCATGTGCCAAATACAAGTTTCATGTAACACGTCACATTGATGTATTGGAGTGATGTGACATCAAGGCCATAAGTATAGCAAGTTTCTTTATTCAAACAACACAACATAATTGAAAATTATACAAGGGTACTTACCTGAAGTATAATTGAGATTATATAAGCCTTCCTGGAGGCTGGATTCATCGGCAAACAAAATATAATTTCATAGTTCATTCATCAGACGGAAAATCGTGAAAGAATTGTTTACATATTATAAAAGGCATAGAAGTACATAAAAGAAAACCACAGGAGCAAAAAAAAAACATTTATTCATTGTATTATTATATTTAATGCTTGCGGTACACCACATAGATAGTTCTTAAAAGAATGACACATCACATTCATATATGGCTGTGATATGACATCAAGGCCATAATTATATAGCAAGCTTCTTTATTCAAAAACTAGATTCCTTTTAAAAACTAAATTATTTAAGATACAAAAATGCATATATTGACTCAAGAAAATCAGTTTTAATACAAAATTTGATTATTGGGGCCATTTTTACCTACATGTCATATGGGGCCATTTTTACCGGGGCCATTTTTTCCGGGGCCATTTTTTCCAGGGCCATTTTTTCCGGGGCCATTTTTTCCGGGCCATTCTTACTGTACACCCTTTATTCAAACAACACAACATAATTGAAAATTATACAAGGGTACTTAACTGAAGTATAATTGAGATTATATAAGCCTTCCTGGAGGCTGGATTCATCGGCAAGCGAAATATAATTTCATAGCAGTTCATTCATCAGACGGAAAATCGTGAAAGAATTGTTTACATATTATAAAAGGCATAGAAGTACATAAAAGAAAACCACAGGAGCAAAAAAATAAAACATTTATTCATTGTATTATTATATTTAATGCTTGCGGTACACCACGTAGATAGTACTGAAAAGAACAACACATCACATTCATATATGGCTGTGATATGACATCAAGGCCATAATTATATAGCAAGCTTCTTTATTCAAAAACAACATAACATAATGTCATAGCAGTCTCAGTTATTGTTTGGTTTTACACTTGAACTTCTTTTAGCCCATCCACAACTTAAAAACCTGGCAAAAATATTCACTAATCTCTGCCACCTTAGCCTTTTGCAATGGGCAATATATGTTAATTATTGTACTACCATACCATTCAGATCTTTACTAAAATGGTATTTGAGATCCAAATTGTATTCAATGTTGTTGCTGTGCCATGAGAATCTTTTTAGTGGATATTAGTGATAAATTTGTTATTATTTTATTGGGGTTTTTTTTTTTAATTATATTAATATTATAAATGTGATTATTAATAGCAGTAATAGTAGTAATATTATTATTATTATTTATTATTATTACTATTAATATTATTATTATTATTATTTTCTTAAGGTGGAGATACCTCTAAGTACATTGGACTTTAGCACAGTTACCACTGACTGGTATGTAGTTTATTGATGTTTATCTAACAGGATAATACCAATGGCATGTTTACCTTTAACAATGGAATTAAATATTAATTTATTTAAACTTTCCATTCAATAGATAAATGCTAAAGTACAGTATTTGCTTTTTGTGGAAGGGTTCTCAATCTACATTCATCATTTGAGGTGTCCCTCTCGTGTTTTTAATTTTAAAAAGTTAGTGTTTTGAGAAAAATGAATGAAATGAAAATTAAATATGCCAAAGTAATGTACTTACAAATTTTTTTCCATTTTTTTAAATTTTGTGATTTTCAAGTAACTTTTGTATTTACAATTTATTTTTCATTCCTTTTAGGTTTGCCTTGGAGAAAAAAGATGATGATTCGGTGTCTCGCATTTCAGGATCCTGATTATGTTTTTTATTCGCAACCATCGTGGTGCTCAGTCAGTGTTTATTAGTAGTCAGCAATATGGAAGTGAGCCTATTTTCATCAGAAATTCCATATCTTGATGGAAGAAAGTAATTTCAAAGTAACATTTCTGTGACATGCAAAGTCAAAGTGTCATGTATGCCTTTGATTTAAAAGCCATGACATTAAAAAGGTCATTAACTTATTTATTTTATGTTATGGAAATTTAATCAATTCTATTTTTACCAAAAAGTGTATAAATATAATTAATTACATTTTCTAGTCACTTCAGATGGTATGGAAAATGGGACATTTTATTTTACTTACTGTGAAGGAACACTGCATTTTTATTAACAACTTTTCATGAATTACTTGCAATGATTCCATCACCTTGTCAATAAGTGCAGTGGTATATCTAGGGAGTGCGTGGGGGTGCCGTCCCCCCTCCCGAAAAAATTACTCAACCCCCCCCCTAAAAAAAATCACAGTCAATTAGTTAAAAGTCGCCTAAAGTCACCTTATTTTACGAATTAGTGCCCCTCAACTGATCATCGAGGCCCCTCACCTCACCTTCGCGCCCCTCCCCCATCAGCACCCCCCATTTCAGGACTTCTAGATACGCCACTGGCAGTGTGTATAGGGAATGTGTATGCAGTGGCATATCTGATGGTATTTAACAAGGGTGCTTGAGAGATGAGAAAGTCAGGGAGGCAGCTGAAGAACAAGGTATCAGGTGATTTTGAACCAGTGTAAGTTTTGACAAATTTCCAGTGCCTGGAAAGCAACCTTTTACCTAGTGGTACCTTTCACCAAAGCATCCCTTTCCACATGTACCTCCCCCTTGGGCCCCCTTAAACATGCTATGGTGTGTCTGTAGGGATGAGTGAAGAGTGTGTAAAGGCATGTGTAGGGGTATGTTTATGGGTAGGTGTTTCAAAAGGTGTGCGAGTAAATGTGTACTTGAGTGATGTGTGCAAAAGGTTGTGGTTGCATGTATGTTGGTATGTATTCAGAGACTGTCTCTTATACACATCTAGATGTGTATATTACTCAAACCCCCCCCCCCCAAAAAAAAAAGGCTATCCCCATCAAAAAAAAAAAATCACAGTCAATTAGTTAAAAGTCGCCTAATGTCACCTTATTTTGCGAATTAGTGCCCCTCAACTGATCATCGAGGCCCCTCACCTTACCTTCTCACCCCCACCCATCAGCACCCCCATTTCAGGACTTCTAGATACGTCACTGGCAGTGTGTATAGGAAAATGTGTATGCAGTGGCATATCTGATGGTATTTAACAAGGGTGCTTGAGGGATGAGAAAGTCAGGGAGCCAGCTGAAGAACAAGGTATCAGGTGATTTTGAACCAGAATAAGTTTTGACAAATTTCCAGTGCCTGGAAAGCAACCTTTTACCTAGTGGTACCTTTCACCAAAGCATCCCTTTCCACATGTACCTCCCCCTTGGGCCCCCTTAAACATGCTATGGTGTGTCTGTAGGGATGAGTGAAGAGTGTGTAAAGGCATGTGTAGGGGTATGTTTATGGGTAGGTGTTTCAAAAGGTGTGCGAGTAAATGTGTACTTGAGTGATGTGTGCAAAAGGTTGTGGTTGCATGTATGTTGGTATGTATTCAGAGATATGCAAGTAGAAGTGTATGTTTAGGAATGTGTGTAGGCGAGGCAAGTGTTGGGATGTGGGTAGGGGTGGTTTAGAGATTTATGCAGGAATGCATTTAGGGGTAGGTGTAGGGATGTGTGCGGGGATTAGTATAGGGATAATTATATGTGACGTGTTGTGCACAGAATGAGTATATGGGTATGTGTATGAGTTGTTTGTAGCCATATTTGTAAGGATATGTATAAGGATGTAAGTCATGTGAGAGGGCGTACATGTAGGGCTGTGTATGTGTTTATATGTTTTATTATTGCCCCTCAGGGTGACCATCCCATTGATGCCTTTATGACAAATACTTAATGTACAATATTGATTGCTACAGTGTTGCGCATGTGTGCATTGACTATTTTATACATTTTGTATAATTCATATTTCGATTTAAAAGAAGTATTTATTTGATGCAAGGTTGAATTACAGTAATTTTATATTTGTTTTTTAAGTTCAAAATGTGAAAAGAGGATAATTAATACCTTTTTTATGTTTGATGATTTGTCAGTGACATACTGCACATACAGTATCTCTTTAATAGTTTCTGTTTGTCTAGTCTGTCTTCTAATTAAACAAATATATTGCTAGATTGATGACAGTTTTGCTTTGTAAATGCATCATAAGAAATATAAATGAAGGATAAAAGAATATCAAAATAATGTCAGTTAATTGATGGATATTAGAAATTATGTGAAACAAGTTTTTTTTTTTTTTTTTAATTTGGTAGTTTATTTAGTTTGGTTTGTTATTCTGTGTGGCATGCTTACTATTTTCTCACAACTCCCATCAGAGTTATTACAAATATTATTTACCCTCCAAACTTTTTGTAATTTATTCATCTTTTACACATTTTGTTTTTTACATGTACTTACAATCTCATTGTACCGATGTATGAGGGTAATTTAATGTGTATTGGTGCTAACTTATTATCTTACACAGAAAAGAGAGTTCTAGGTATTATTTTTTTTAAATTAATTTTAAGTTAATTAAATTTATGAAATTGGTTTAAAATAATTGAAATTAATCATATTGACTACTTTAATTAAATTAATTTTTTATGCTAAACCAATTTGTTTTGGTTAATGTCTCCTTGTTGCTGTATCATCAAGTATTATTATATCAGTTTTCACCAATATTTATAAAAAAAAAAAAGCTGTGTATTAAGGAATTACCAGTACTAATATTTAACTCTAAAAATGATAGATCACTTTGTATTTCAAAATTAAGTTCCGCACCTTGTTTTTTAATTAAGCATTTTAATAACAGAAATAATGTAAGACAATTCCAAATAAGCCAATAGTGTTACCAAAATGCAGAGTGGTATTTGGTGAAATTACCAACCCTACAATGATTACATTTGCAAGCTGCATTGAATGAAAATTGTCAGTTAAACAATAATAATAATAATAATTACGAGGTCATGCTCAGGAGAGTTTGAATTTCAGCTTGAATATAATTTCAACCTTTAATTTTTTCAAAGCTTGTTAGTTAAATGCTGAAAACAACTTGTACGTGTAAGTTTCATAAAATTGGAAAGCTTGAAGTTTGAGGACCAAGTGTCAAACAAGTATCATTGCAATAAATAAAAATTAAAATCAGAAGAGGAGAGACGTTCATTTGAAATTGGTTTTTTTTGGGGGGGGGGGGTTTGAAATAGAGGAGTAATCATCAGGTAAATACAGCATGCATGATCCCCAATCCCCCACCTGCTAAATATGCTCGTAGATTTCATTATACACCAATCATAGGTCTATAGAATCTTTAAAATGTTATTTCCATTACACAAACGCATCATACTTGTACTGTATATATTATATTTTATTTGGAAGCGACACTTTTGCAACAGTTGCACACATATGTAACATTGCGTCCAAGAAAAAGATAAGAAAACAAATTCAAAACATGAAAAATCTGTAAGTCTAAGAGATTCACAAAAAGTACAAATCAATGTCTTAATTACCACTCCCCGTCTCCAATCAAGGGAACAGACACAGAACACCACATTTCCTATTTATCATTCCCCTTTTACACTTTAAGTTCCAAACCCTTATTTAATTAAACATTTGAAAATACAAACGCCAGTGACATACTGCACATACCTGTCTCTTATACACATCTAGATGTGTATAAGAGACAGGATTCCATCACCTTGTCAATAAGTGCAGTGGTATATCTAGGGAGTGCGTGGGGGTGCCGTCCCCCCTCCCGAAAAAATTACTCACC